GGGGGGCGCGCGGCTTGGCTAAAATATATATATATATATATAGGCCGGCTAAAATATATATATATATATATATATATATATTTGATTTTTTTTAATTTAATCTCCTTCTTTTTTCTTCTTCTTTCTTCTTCTCTTTTTTCTTCTTCTTTTTCTTGTGTCTTTTTTCTTCTTCTTTCTTCTTCTCTTTTTTCATTCTCTTCTTTTTTCTTCTATTTTTTTTTTTATTTGGTTGATATTCACCTCCTTGGGGATGTTTTATTTTTTGAATAGGATATTACCCTCGTTCCTTGAGATGGAATGTGCACCCCCTTGGGGATGTTCTATTTTTTGAGTAGGGAGATTATCCTCGTTCCTTGAGATCGGATGTGCGCCCCCTTGGGGATGTTATATTTTTTGAGTAGGGAGATTATCCTCGTTCCTTGAGATCGGATGTGCACCCCCTTGGGGATGTTCTATTTTTTTAGTAGGGAGATTATCCTCGTTCCTTGAGATCGGATGTGCACCCCCTTGGGGATGTTCTATTTTTTGAGTAGGGAGATTATCCTCGTTCCTTGAGATCGGATGTGCACCCCCTTGGGGATGTTCTATTTTTTGAGTAGGGAGATTATCCTCGTTCTTTGAGATCGGATGTGCACCCCCTTGGGGATGTTCTATTTTTTGAGTAGAGAGATTATCCTCGTTCCTTGAGATGGGATGTGAACCCACTTAGGGTTGAAATGTAAGGGTGATGCCCAACCTTAGGATGGGGATAACTGCTCACTGTAGGATGAGGCGTTCGAGACCTATGGTCTGAGGTGGATGCGCATGGTTGTGCCATTGGTTCGCGCGTGCGCGTCATACCATTTTTTCTGTTTTTGAAGTAGGGACGTGAAACACTTGATGGGATGTGAAACCCCTTGGGGTTGAAAGGTAAGTGGATGTACCACCCTTGAGATGTGATGCCCAACTTTAGGATGGGATAGCCCCCCATTTAGGATGATGCGATCATGAACCACTGGGGTGAGATGCCCCACCTTGGCGATATATGGTGCCACTGATTCAGTGGCAGCACGAGTTGAATCTTCCGTGATCATACGCTGAAGGTCTTCTTTGGTTATCTGAACCGTTCGAGAAGTAAGTAGAAATTGATCATGTTGAGGACCCAGTGGGGCCTCACGAGGAGGAGCGTTGGCTCCTGCTATGACGAATGAAATGTTTTGGGGGCGATGTAAGCCCCAGGGAGTCGATAACCCTTGGCGAGCGAAATATTTTGGGGGCAGATGTAAGCCCCCAGGGAGTCGATAACCCTTTCTAGTGTTGAAGGGCCTCCTCGGTTATTTGAACCATTCGAGGAGCAGGGAGTGGTGGATCGGCGAGTGGTGGGTCCCGATGGGGGATCACCTGAACCTCGCGAGGCGGATCCATGGGATGTGGAGGAGGTGGCAAGCCAGAGCCTCCACGAGGTGGGAGGTCGTTAGCTATGTCATTTTCTCTCCGAGCAGACGCCTCAGGAGGATCTTGTTGGCTATGTGATCTGGTTTGCATCGTTTCCCACAGACGGCGCCAAAATGATGATGCTAATTACTAGCTCACCTAGGGTGGTGTAGAAAACGAACTGGGAGAGCAAAGCAGATCAGTAGCTTGACAACTTGATGATCCTGAGGTACCTGCGATCATAGAACACATAAGCTAAGCCGGGGGTTGATCCGGCGGAAACCCCTCCGACGCTCAAGTCAGACATGCTGATAGTAGAAATAGTCCAGAGAATACATATTATCGTATTGCTCAGTTAATAGGACGTACCTTAATAAAATGAGGAAAACCTCTATTTATATGTCGTTTATTGGGTTGGGTTTGCTTTGTTGGGCCCAAGCCTTACTTGAAGGTGTTTGGGCCTCGGTGATATTAGTCTTCGATATTGGACTCGTAGCCCAGTAGGTAAAGAAATTGTAGGCCCATTGGGTTGGCCCAATTAGGCATATCATTTAGGTACATCAATTGTATTTTTCCCTAATTTAACACTCATGGAATAACATTACACACAGTGGTTCACTCAAAAATCAATACAAGGCGTATCATTAAAATCAAACAACAAAAGTAAATACGACTCAGAAATGGCATACGGTAACACACATGGAGGGCAATAAATAAACAACATTTGAACAATTGTAATGAAAAATACAGAAATGAAAGTCATGAAACACTTATTCAAGCAAGCTTGACCACGTAGGATATATCCGAAAACATCTCAATGCATATCACACATCCTCCGTAATCTTCCCTTGCAGCTTTATTAGATACATCTGCACCAGATTGTGATTCGTTAATCAATCACAAGCTTTTGAAGAAAGAATGTAAGATTTGACATGGAACTACAAATTGAAATGTATAGTTAATTTTGAGGTATTACTCACCTCATATCCAGTAGAACCGTTACGGGCGATCACTCATCAAGAGGTGGAAAAACGGAGAGCTTGAATATGCTGACCTGTTGCTTCTTTATATTGCGGATTTTTTTTGCAGAGGCAGCTGCAAAGTTCGAACAGTTCAATTCCAAAAATTGGAGGCTCTGTATATCGGCAAGTCCGATCGGAACTTGTACGAGTTCTTCGCAGTTGTAGAGCTCAAGGCGTCTGAGCTTCGGGAAGTGACGGTCTGAAGCTCTCCAAACAACTAAATTTGTCGGTCCAATATGCAAGACCTCGAGATGGCGAAACCCTCCATCGGCTGTTTTCCATATCTCCCCCATGAATGCATTATCTTTTAGCTTAAGAACAATTAATTTCTCCAGTGATCCTAGAATAGGCATATGACTCCAGTCGAGAGAAGTATCGGATAATGTTAGGCTCTTCAGTTTCGGTGGGAACTCGTACGGCTGAGGAAGGTACCGTAGCTGACCTTCCGAAGCTGGACGGGGAAATACATCATTTAGTAGCTTCAGATTTTCAAGATGATCCATTTTTCTTAAGATGCCAAATGACCCGATCTTGCCGTCAATCAGCGAGGCTAGCGGGCCACGAATGCCTAATTTCTTTAAATTACAAGCCGTGTCAAAAACTTGTTCGGAGCAACTTTGTGGTGAGATTGTATCAAGTGTTTGAAGCTTTTGACCTCCTTTGTCACTGCTATCTCTCTTGGGCAAAGATGCAGATGCATTCGTCTTTAGATGCCTTAAATGAAGCATGTTCCAAATATCTGCTCTGATTGCGATATTACGAGATGGCGTATCGACTATAAGAGTTTGTAGGTTCCAAAGCTTGGAGAAGTGTGCAGGAACAACCGATAAATTGAAGGACAGGACGATGTACCTCAAATGAAGCAATTGGTACATGTCACTGGGAATACTTTTGCCGAATATGATGGGCTTGACATCTAAAACTCTAAGCAATTTGAAAGAAGTCGGAATGTTTGAAATGCAATCTGCCGGTAAAATGACGTCTTCCTTGGAGAAACAAACAAAAGACCGGACACGGTGACCATAAGGTTTTGAAGAAATAAAGCTCAAGACATTGGAATGGATACAAAGACGACGATACTTTTCTATCTGAGAAATGGGAGGAGCAAAACCTTCATTTGTTTTCTTTATTTCTTGGAGAAAATTTTCCTTTTCGTTTCTAGCTTCATTTATGCAGAAATCACGGAGCATGTCATGAATGCGGCATGTTTTGATTTTACCATCGGATTTAACCTTGTCGACTCTAACTAAGTTCCTGCTGATAAGATCTTCCAAATAGCCCTCCGCAGTTTCCTCCAAGCTTACTTCATTGCTTTGTTGTATGAACCCTTCAGCAATCCACATGCGGATCAATTTCCAAGCCGGGATTTGAAAGTCTTCCGGGAACATCCCCAGATAGAGATAGCATGCTCTCAAATGATAAGGCAATTTATCATAACTCAGTGCTATAATTTTCTCCATGCGTCTCTCCGGATCCTTCTCAACAAGATATGTACTCACGCTTTCCGACACTTTCTTCCACGTTGCCTCGTTTGATGCCGAAAAATTTTTGACGAGAATCCCTCCTATGACAACTATTGCAAGTGGCAGGCCGTTGCAATCCTTGGCGATTAGGTTTCCATGATCTTCCAGTTCAGGAGGGCACACTGGTTTACCGAAAACCTCCAGTCGGAGGAGCAACCAACTCTCAGCATGAGTCAAGAAACGCAACTTGTAGGGAGGTCTATTGACATTAGCGCATTGAGCCACTTCCACATGACGACTGGTGATCAAGACTTTGCCCATGCTATTGGTATGTGGCAGAACAATTTTGAGTTTATCCCAATCCTCAGCTGTCCACACGTCATCCATTACGATCAAGAACCTTCCTTCGTCTAGTTTAGCAGCAACTAGCATGGCTAACTCGTGATCGCTCTTCGTTTTCGTTTCCTCGGTAACCTTGGTAAACTCTTTTAGAATGGCAAGAAAGACATCCTTCCTTGTGAACTCTTGAGATATGTAAACCCATATACGTGTGTGGAATCTGTAAACGATTGCGGGATCACGGAAGATCTTACCGGCCAGTGTTGTCTTGCCAAGACCAGGCATACCAACGATCGAGATCACATCAAGCTGCTCGGTTTCCGCAGTCAGATATCCTATTATTGTTTTGGTCTCATCTTCAAGCCCTACCAAATTGCGTTGTCTCACTAGAGGGACCTGTTTTTGAAGAATAAGAAATTTTCATTTGTTAGGTGTCAAAAATATAGTTCGGAATTTTTTCGAATTGTGATTAAAATAGTATAATTTATGATCATATAATAAATTATACGTATATAGTATATACATATAAATTTAACAAATTGAGGGCTGCATTAAAAAAATAATACAATTAGAGAAAGCCAACTCCTCACATAAATCATGAATAGATTGGAATTGACAGGGGACATTTGGGTGCGTTTCAGGGGTGTAAAAGTGAATTTTCCCTATTTCATATATTTCAAAATTAAATATATTATTTCTTAAAAAAAATAATTAACATCTTCACTTTTCAAAGTTCCATATTCCATCTTTAGGTAGCCAGCCAGACGCACAGAAAACCCCGAGTCTTTTTTTTTTCTTTTTTTTTCTTT